CCCTCAACCCCCTCCCCCCGGCTCCTGTCCCCCGCCGCCGCCGGTGGCGTCGCCGGCCAAAGGCCGCATGGCGTAGGCGGCGGGGCGCCTTCTTCCCATGCCTGGAGTCATGCGTCGCGGGGCACGGTCCTCCTCGGCGGCGACGGTGGTCGTCGGCTCTCCCTCGTGCTCGGCTCCTTCCCCTCGGCGTCCTGGCGTCCCAACGGTGCCTCCCGCCCTCCCCCCATGGCGGATCCGAGGTGGGTGCGGGGATCCTGCTGGCGGCGGATGCCCTTGGGGGTGGCCGGCGACCAGGCTCAGGTGGTGGCGTGGTGGCTGGCAGCTCGACTGCTTCGTGTGGGGGGCGGGGTGCTTGTCGGCTCTGGCCAGGGCGCGGCGGCGCGTGTGTGGTGGAGCGGCGGTGGCTATGACTGGTAGCGGCGTGGGCGATCTTTGCCCCTCGCAGCGGCATGGGGGCTAGGCGGGTGGGCTGAAGGTTGGTGGTATGGAGGCGTGGCGGTGGTTAGTGCGTGTCCAGGCGGGCGGTGGGTGGCTGGCTTGCTTGCTCGGCCGTGTGACGGCGCGGGCCGTGAGCGGCTTGGGCCACGGGCGGCCGCCCTGCATTGGTAGGTGGTGGCAGCGGCGCGGTGGTGGACTGCCATGATCTTCTCCTCCTCGAGGTGGTGGCTCATGGCGGTGGTCCGGGTCGTTCTCGGCGGCGGCGGGACTTCTCCGGCGTCAACCTGTCGGTGTGCGTCCTGTGTGGACCTCCGACACTCCTCTTCGGGCGTCCGTCCGCTATGTTTGTTGACGGTTGGCCCTCCCCCAGCGACGGTCCATCACTCGTCTCGCACACGGCAGCAAGACCGAGCTCATCTCACGCCCGGCAACAGGACTGACCTTGTCTCGCGCCCGGCAGCAGGAATGAGCTTGTCTCGCGCCCGGTGCCGAGGACGGGGTGATGGAGGCTAGCCTTGGCCAGCCTATTGGGTCTCGGCACTGGGGGCTGCCCGCGGGTGCGAAAGGCGGGTCCGTTCCGCTTGTGTCCTTGGTCGGGGTAGCGATAGATCTCATGTGAGGAGGTGTCAAGGTCTTTATTGTCGAGGTGGCGGCCTTGATGGTGGCTCCGCGGGGCTCTTGGGCACACACGTGGCTTGGTGCTGCCCAGTTGCCATGGTCGTGTGGGCGGCTTGGTAGCCGGGGTGTGGCGTTCGGCGGCGGTGAATGGTGGCCGGGGTGAAAACCTACTCTTTCTTCGGATGGACAGGCAGCGGCGGACTCGTTCCCTTCTTGAAGGCGTCGTCGCGGCTCTCATTGCTCTTTGTTGCTCCGGGGAAACTCTGATCCTCGGATTGGGCGGCGGCGGCGCTCTGGTATCGTCCCCTTCATGAAGGCGCCGCCTTGGAGCCCACGGTTCGTCATATGTGCTCTCACCTCTTCGTGTAGTGCTAGGGATGGTGTTGCTGCGCTCAGCGTCTATGTATCTTGCCTTGAGTGTGTGTGTGCGTGTGTTGTGTGGGCATGCATTTGTTCTGGATGATGTTGATCAGTGCTTTATATATAAAGCGGGGCGAAAGCCTTTTTCGGTATGCCACGAGGCCTTGACTATACAAGTTGTCGCTACTATGCTATCTCCTATAAAAGATGTATATAAAAGCATGTGATGTATAACTTACATCATCAAAAAATAACTTTTACATCATAAAAAAAGTCTGACTCCAACTGATGATGTATATTTGGTGGTATAAAAAGTAGTGCTCCAACAAATGGTGTATTTGAAGATGTAAAACTAGTTCAACTACTAGGATGCGGTCGTCGACATGACAGATGCGGCCAAGCATCGAATCGAGACGGGCGTCGGCGGCCGAGCGTCGAATCGAGACAAGGAGCCAGTCGGGGCGGCGGCGGAGCTCGAAACGCATCGGCGGCCGAGCTTCAAATGCGGCGGGGCGGCGCGACGGAGCTGGAATCAGGCGGCAGACGAGCTTCGATTGAGGCAAGCTGGGGCGGCGGGGCGGGCGAAATGGGGTGGAACTGGCGGGTGGAGGGGGTGGATGGGAGGCCGGTTGTGGCTGTGCAGCGAGAGACGGGGAGGTGATCACGCGGTGGGTGAGGAGATGAAAAAATGGCGGTTGGTGATTAACGCGCGGCAGTCCGTTTTACATCTGAGTTTACATCTTCGATAGTTGGTAATGTATATTTTCAGCTTCAAGTGTTGTATTTTATACCACTTGAAGCAGGTGACGTAAAAATTTATACATCTATGTCATCTGTTGAAGCAGAGATTTTATAGAAGTTACTACCGTTCCAAAATGTATGACGTTTTGGTATGCTACAAATTAGACTATTAAAACATCATATATTTTTAAACAAAGATAGTATTTATTTATACATCTACATCATCTATTGCAGATGCTTTTATAAATAAAATAAACAAACAGACCTTCTCAACTGATTGAAAGACAAACCCTCGAGTTGTCAGAAAACCACGCGGTTTGTTCTTTCCCAGGCAGTCGGTCCTACGCGCGCATACTCACCCAGTGGTACGATGGAGCCAGTAGAATGATTAATCATGCGGTGTCCAGGAGAACAACGGTAACACTTTTGTAGTTTTATTGGGTGTGTTAAGCTCATGTGATCTTCCACGAAAACAACGCCCTTTCCGTGTTGAAATTTGCACGCGCTCTTCTCCTCTCATTTTGCTAATTACAAAGTAAAATAATTACGAAAAACCACGCGGAGTATTAGTAAATCTTCATGAATATGCTGATGTATTATAGATGTTCATTTATAAGGGCTTGTCTATGTCTAAATCGCCTTTGATTCAAAAAAATTCTATAGAATTTTTTAAGGATTGAAATTCTTAGAATTTTTCTTACGTTGGTCCTTTGATTCATAGAATTGAATTCCTATGTAATTTTTTGTATCACATTTCATAGAAATCTAACATCCACTCTAACCTTCTTTTACAATTCTTTTGTTTTTTCTGTGGCACCAAGCACTCATTTCTAATCTTAGAGCATCTCTAGCAGACTCCATATAATACCGACCCACAAAACTTGTTTACAGTTTGTTGCAGATCTGATTTGCGGGGCGGATTTGTGCGCTACAGACCAGATCCCGTATATGAAACTGTAAATTTTTTAAAAAAAGCATTCGCGGGAGAAACTTGCAACGACATTGATCATACATAGTTCATCATCATACTACATTGATCATACATAGTTCATCATTATACAACATTGTACCACTAGGGGGGAATCTGTGGGCCATGCAGCATACCCGTGCCTATGCTACCAAAATCGACGAGCTCGTTGCGACGATGACACGGCGGAGGAGCTGGAGGAGCTCAGTCCTCGTTGGAGTCGAGGTCGATCCAGACCTTGGCCTGCTCGACCTTCATGGCGCACAGGTCCGCCTCCTTGGACGTGTGTGCCTGCGACGCCGCGACGCCCATCTTGAGGAAGATCTGCTCGTACTCCAGCTCGCGGCGGCCTCCTCCTCCTCCCTCGCCGAGCGCTCCATGATGACGCGCTCTAGGTGCTCCTCCTGCCTCGGGGGGAGATAGTCCTCGGGGCCGATTACTCCTCGAGGCGGCGGCGCGTCGGCCCTGAGCTTGACGGCGCACGGCCCGAGCTCCTCCGACTCTCTCTTGACTGGAGTGAAACCGCATATATAGCGGTGGAGTGGGACTTTTTCGGGCCACGGTAAAAAAATTACAGACCGGGCCCAAGATACGGTGTCTTTTCTGGCCAGAAAAACAGGCCGTATCCGTATACTCGCCGAAATTATACGAATTCGACCCTTTTACGGGTCTGCTAGAGATGCTCTTATAGGATTTAAGTGGACATGACACTCCAATTCTGTACTTTTCTATTTTTCTATTTTTAGAATCTTGTGAATCAAAGAGGCCCTTAGTAAGGTCCTCATTGATTTAGAAAATTTCAATTTCAGTGTAATAGAAAATGTGTGCAAGTACTTTTACTTAACTAAAGTTTTACTTTTATGAATTAATTGAGACTTCAGAAAGAAATATTAAGTCTACTTAAAATTTGCAAAGCCATTTGTTATAAAGCAAACCTAAAAAGATTTGAGTTTAGTAAAATGTGGGCTTAAAAAAATGTACTCCCTCCATCCTATAATGAAAGACGTTTTTTGACACTTCATTATGGGACGGAGGGAGTAGGTTTAATATTTTTATCTTGGTGTTGCGAACTGGGTGGCATAGTTGGTTAGATTTTTCTAAATGACACCTATCGAACTGGATTTAAATCTTAGACTTAGTATAGATGCTTGCACTCTTTTAGACTTTTGAAAGTGTACATTCATAAAGATGGGTATTAACACTAAGGATGGGCATATACACATATATGTACGCGTTAGCATTTGCAAAATGTTTTAAGAAAAGATTTGGGCTTTCTATTTTTTGAAGTCGTCTTAGTTGTGAAATTCTGAAAAATTGACAAAGTTATCACTAGTGCTCGCATTTTTCTGAATTTCTTTCACATTTTTCAGAAATATTTGTTCGGTGAGAGAAGACCTTCGTGTTGATTATAAAGGTGTCAGTGATAACTTTGTCAATTTTTAGATGTTGCGTCGGTTTAGTATTTCTGAGGTGCTCGTAAAGGTAAGGGTAAGGTATACGTGCATGCACATATTTATAGAGATAAGTATATGTATATATATATATATATATATATACGTGGGCATGTACGTTTGTACCGTGTAATCCAAGACTACGTGTCGATCAACCAAACCAGATTCCTTGCCCTTTCCGCCTCACGCGGCTGGGTCGTCGTGGCGCGGGCGAGTGAAGTGGCAGACTCGACTGCCTCCGTCAGTCGTCGCCGTACTCTCGCATATATAACCGGACCAGACACTGCAGGCAAGAGCAGCACCCGCACTAATCCTTATTCTTGCTCCTTTTCCAAGAAGCTCTTCTCTTCTTTGCTCTTCTCCACGAGAGAAAACTGAGAGGAAAATTCCTCAAAAAGAAAAGGAAAAACTGGGAGGAAAAGGCCATGGCACCGAAGAGGGAGCTGGTCTTGGCCAGCGCCCGGGGCTCGGAGGCGAAGCGCCTGTGCGTGGGGGTCCCTGGAGCTGCCTGCGCCGGCGGCAGCGAGAGCGAGCGGTCGGTGCCGGCGTCGCCGGGAAAGCGGCTGCTGCGGCAGACAGTGTTCGTCGTGCTCTTTCTTGTGCGAATGTATGTGCGTTCGCTCTTTTCGATTGGCTGGCTACCTGCTCTTGATTCTCGTCTGCACCTTCAGCTCTGTTTCTAGATTATTATTTTTTTGAACTTCTGTTTCGAGATTCTTAATTCTTCTGTCCCTGCCAATTTGTGTGTGCAGGAGCGAAAAGATCACGGTGACGGAAAGTATGTCGCACATTGGACGCATGGTGAGCACAGATCAAATATAACTTTCATTTTAATTTTATTTGCATGAAATTTGCAACCAGTAATTCACCTGGTGTGGAATACTGAGATTTTACCAGCTGCCTATCAATATGCGTTATTGACGGGGTCGGTATAACAATTATGATGTGTTTTTCCATTTTCAGAAAGCACATATTGTGCTTTTTTATTTTCAAAAAGCACAATTGTGCTTTTCGTGGAAACACAGGCTGTAAACTTTTTTTACGGGAAGCACAACTGTGCTTTTCGCTTTCTAGAGAGCATAGACTGTTTTCCCCTTTTCAGAAAGCATCCATAGCTATGTTTCTCGCATAAACATATGTTGTACTTCTCGCTAAAAAGCACTGCTTCCCGTAAAAAAATCTACCAAAACCTAAGAAAACCTGAAAATCCAAAAAAACTAAAATTCCAAAAACACGTGCAAAAAGAATATCCTGAGGATGTATCCAGTGTGCGACGCGTGACGGCGGCTGGGCACACCACTTGGCGTGCTACCATGCCAAAGAAAGTGACCTCCAGTGGAGTCCTCCAAGAGGTACCGCTTGATTAGTTGCTCCCGAAAATAGAGAACCATCGTTTGTGTTTTGGGCTGGGCCTAGGCTTGAGGTGTTTAGATCGAGCTTTGTCAAGCCCGGCCCAGCCTGGAGAATGATCAGGTCGACCATCCATCTATTTAAATTGGAGGCCTTCAAATATTTTGAAACTTGCTGGGGCTTGTATGGACATTTGTGTGAAGGTTTTGCAAAATAGGTTGTGCGCACATTGGATGTTTGGTTATGTTTCAATTGATATTGAACTTCCGAAACTTTTGTGAAGCTTGCTGAAATTACCATGCATTTTTTGTGAAATCGCTGCATGTATACGAGATGTTCTATCATGTTTTAAAAATTATATAAAAATTCCATGAAACTGTCATGCAATCCCCATGCAACAAGTTAAACACACTATTATAGTTTATTATTTAACGGAAGCATATATTTAAAATCCAAAAATTGTTAAATAAAATCCAATATTGGTCTTGTTCTGAAGATATCGTCATCACTGTCACAAAAGTTCAGACAGGTCGTGAATTGGTTGTTTGGTTAAAAAGTATTTGAGGCTTCAGTTACATACATGGAGAGGGTGTAAGCAGAGTAGATAGATGGGTGATAAGTTCAGAGTGAGAGAAAGAATATTTCATAGTTGATGCACATATACAAATAATAATAATAATAATAATAATCAATGGACAAGATTCACAATGTGTATAAAACATTCTGCACTCTCTTTTTTGGCTAAATAAGGTTTTGATACTGCTAATACATATTGATTGTGACCCCGCAAAAAAATACATATTGATTGTGTTTTGTATATACACTTTCCGCACCTTTAAGGTATAGTTCTTCTTCTTGGTTTTGCATGATCATCCTATACAAATACCATAATCTTTGTACAAAAATAATGTATTTCCTTGCATTTTATCAGTGTATTCACAGTTCCACGTGATTTGGCTATCTCCCCCTTATTCTGTTCCTGTTGTGCCTGATTTGACCTTTATGTACTCCCATAGGTTCAGAAACTTCACAAGGTTCAGACTCTTATCATGAGGTAAGAATATTTTCCATGTTCTAAAATGATATTCTAGTTTTGTTCCATAAAATACAATGATTGTTCTCATTATCTTCGAGTAATGTGTTTATTTGCAGGGTCAAAAACATCAGTTCCATTTTTCTCAGAACACGGTCACGAGAATAGGTAGTGTATAGGAACTTTTGCAAAAACACACACAAGTGTTTCATGTACCCCATGGGTCGTGACCACTCACGAGACCTCTTTAGGGGCCTATATTATATCCACATGTAGGTAAGTGGCTTGCATATTTGCTAGAAACAAATATACTCGCTCCGTTCCTAAATATAAGTCTTTTTAGATATTCCAATAAGGGATTAAATACGAAGCAGAATGAGTGAATCTACCCTCTAAAATATGTCTATATAAATTCGTATGTAGTTTGTATTAAAATCCCTAAAAAGACTTATATTTAGAAACGGAGAGAGTACATCAAAGGCAGTAGGGCACTCCTCCCCTTTTCCCAGAATTTACATTTCAAGATTTCCTGATATCATTGATATATTCGTGACTGTATTTAATGACAAAAGAAAAATAATTGCACTTGCAAATAAATAATTACAATGCGAACTATTATTTTTTTTGAAGATCAAGGTTGTATATTGGAGACAATTTGAATAATTAAAAGAGAATCTAAGAAAGAACAGGGGTAGTAGTAATTCTGGTAGAACCCAGGGTCCTACCGGACCTGCTCCTTAGGTTGTAGGGGCAGGCAGGGGGAAGATGAAGGCGAGGGCGACGTGGCCGGCACGTGGGTGTCGTCCTGATCGGGAGATGGAGACGGCGGCGAGAGGGAGGTGGTGCGGCCAGGGTTAGGGTTCCGGCTCCTTCAGGGAGCCGGGCAATAGAATATGTCTTATTGCTTAATCTCAAAAATAGTCTTACAGCTAGTATATATAACCACGATGCTAAAAATACGATAACTTGTGGGCCAAGCCCCTAATCTAAACTTGCCCGGTGGGCCTCCTATGGGCATAAATATGCCCGGTCATAACATCTCTCCCCGCCTACGCAAACAGCTCGTCCTCGAGCTGAAAGTCTGGATAGTGTTGGCGGAACTCGTCACGCTGCTCCCAAGTGGCCTCCTCTGCCGGAATTACAGTCCACTGAATCAGCACGTACCACACGCCGCGACGGAGCTGGGCCTGCAATGAAGGAAATATGCCCTAGAGGCAATAATAAAGTTATTATTTATTTCCTTATAATCATGATAAAGGTTTATTATTCATGCTAGAATTGTATTAACCAGAAACATAATACATGTGTGAATACATAGACAAACAAAGTGTCACTAGTATGCCTCTACTTGACTAGCTCGTTAATCAAAGATGGTTATGTTTCCTAACCATGAACAATGAGTTGTTATTTGATTAACGGGATCACATCATTAAGAGAATGATCTGATTGACATGACCAATTCCATTAGCTTAGCACCCGATCGTTTAGTATGTTGCTATTGCTTTCTTCATGACTTATACATGTTCCTATAACTATGAGATTATGCAACTCCCGTTTACCGGAGGAACACTTTGGGTACTATCAAACGTCACAATGTAACTGGGTGATTATAAAGGAGTACTACAGGTGTCTCCAAAGGTACATGTTGGGTTGGCGTATTTCGAGATTTGGTTTTGTCACTCCGATTGTCGGAGAAGTATCTCTGGGCCCTCTCGGTAATGCACATCACTTAAGCCTAGCAAGCATTACAGCTAAATGAGTTAGTTGCAGGATGATGTATCACAGAACGAGTAAAGAGACTTGCCGGTAACGAGATTGAACTAGGTATTGGATACCGACGATCGAGTCTCGGGCAAGTAACATACCGATGACAAAGGGAACAACGTATATTGTTATGTAGTCTGACCGATAAAGATCTTCGTAGAATATGTAGGAGCCAATATGGGAATCCAGGTCCCGCTATTGGTTATTGACCGGAGACGTGTCTCGGTCATGTCTACATTGTTCTTGAACCCGTAGGGTCCGCACGCTTAAGGTTACGATGACAGTTATATTATGAGTTTATGCATTTTGATGTACCGAAGGTTGTTCGGAGTTCCGGATGTGATCACGGACATGACGAGGAGTCTCGAAATGGTCGAGACATAAAGATTGATATATTGGAAGCCTATGTTTGGATATCGGAAGTGTTCCGGGTGAAATCGGGATTTTACCGGAGTACCGGGAGGTTACCGGAACCCCCCGGGAGCTATATGGGCCTTAGTGGGCCTTAGTGGAAAAGAGAAGGGGCTGCCCAAGATGGGCTGCGCGCCTCCCTCCCTCCCCTAGTCCTATTAGGACAAGGAGAGGTGGCCGGCCCCCCCTCTCTCTTTTCCCCCTCCGCGAATCCTATTCCAACTAGGATTGGGGGGAATCCTACTCCCAGAGGGAGTAGGACTCTCCTGGCGCGCCCTATGTGGCCGGCCAGCCTCCCCCCTTTGGTCCTTTATATACTGAGGCAGAGGCACCCCAGAAACACACAAGTTGATCCACGTGATCTATTCCTTAGCCGTGTGCGGTGCCCCCAGCCACCATAGTCCTCGATAATACTATAGCGGAGTTTAGGCGAAGCCCTGCTGCTGTAGTACATCAAGATCGTCACCACGCCGTCGTGCTGACGAAACTCTTCCCCGACACTTTGCTGGATCGGAGTCCGGGGATCGTCATCGAGCTGAACGTGTGCTCGAACTCGGAGGTGCCGTAGTTTCGGTGCTTGATCGGTTGGATCGTGAAGACGTACGACTACTTCCTCTACGTTATGTCATCGCTTCCGCAGTCGGTCTACGTGGGTACGTAGACAACACTCTCCCCTCTCGTTGCTATGCATCACATGATCTTGCGTGTGCGTAGGAATTTTTTTGAAATTACTACGAAACCCAACATGCAACACCTTCTCCGGTCCCGAAAGAATGTGCCCGTCGAGGGTTGGAGGGAGCGCGCGAGGGGCCGCAGGTGGCTCCCTGCGGTAAGGCTTCAACAGCCCCACATGGAAGACGTCGTGGATGCGGGCTCCGGCAGGAAGCTGAAGACGGTAAGCCACCTTCCCGATGCGCTCTAAGACAGCAAAGGGCCCCGCGTAACGAGGGCCCAGCTTGCGCTTCGCGCGCGGGTCTAATGACTGCGTAGAGCGGTGAAGAAGACGCAACCACACCCAATCGCCCACCGCGTACTCCGCCTTGCGATGGTGGTCATTGTAGTAGTGTTTGGCCAACTGTTGGGCCTGAAGGAGGCGTTGGCGAACTTCGGCCAACATGTTGTCACGGCGCCGCAGAAGCTCACCGGCCACCTCCGTCCGAGCCGTCGACGGATCCACCGGCATGATGGGCGGTGGCGGTCGGCCATAGACCACCTCAAAAGGAGTGGCGCGCAGGGCGGAGTGGTAGGAGGTGTTGTAGCAGTA